CATCAGCCAGTCATTGAGCACCAGCAGTGTTGGGGGATGGTCTCTTGTAGTTTGTGAGTGTCTGCAGGCCTTTCCACAGTGTCGCAGGGTCGCTGGCTGTGAAGCTGTTTTCTAGCTTTTCAGCGTAGCTCCTCTTTGCTGCTTTCACCACTTTAGTCAGTGTGTTCCTGGCCTGGTTATACAGGACTCTGTCCCCACTTCTGAAGCCCTCCTCTTTGGTCTGACAAAGCTGCCTGAGTTTCGCTGTGAACCAGGGTTTTTGGTTGTCTCACAAAAACTGGTGTAGGATGTCACAGTGTCAGTTAGTTTGTCCGTGTCAGTGGCTGCAGCCTCAAAAACACTCCAGTCAGTGCAGTCAAAGCAGGACTGTAAATCCAGCTTTGACTCGTTGGTCCATCTTTTCACCCTCTTCACAACAAGTTTAGCAGATTTTAATTTCTGCCTGTGTGTTGAGGTAAGATGAACCAGACAGTGATCAGAGAGTCCCAGGGCTGCACGGGAAACAGGGCTATAGGCATCCTTTAGTGTAGTGTAGCAGTTATCTAGTGTGTTAGTGTCCCTGGTGGGACACTTAATACGCTGTCTGTACTTTGGAATTCATGGCTGTGGTTTGCTCTGTTGAAGTCCCCAAGAACAATGAGCAGGGAGCCTGGATGATCCGCATGGAAGAGATTGCGGGACGTGCAGGGCGAGCCAGGACTCGGTAAAACAGAGGGCGGCAGATCTGTAGAAGTCTGAGTTAGTTCGGTTGAAGACCAGAAGTTTATCAGTTTTGTTGGCCAGAGAGTGGACATTTGCCAGGTGGATAAAAGGGAGCGCAGTGCAAAACCCCCGCTCTCTCAGTTTAACCAGTGCGCCAGCACGCTTCCCCCTTCGGCATATCCGGTAGACCCTAAATAGAGCTGCTGTTCCTCCAACTAACTCCGAGAAAGTTCCCGGTTCAATAAAGAGCGGAGGAATAGTGTGAGCAGTTGAAAGTCCAATGTTTAAGAGCTCCATTTACCAGAGAGGGATGGCTGAAAACAAGAATTTATAAACAAAAATTCAAAAGCTCTATGGAGCGTAATCCAGAGGCGGCCATCTTGTGTTAGCTAAACTGAATGAGTGCCTTACAGAGCTGCTTTATTAAACTCTTAAGGACACCTTTTTAGAGACAAATTCCAGGCCATGTCAGTAGCCCAGTGGTTAGAATATCTGTCAGAATATTGGGATTTTGGCAGAAACATAGGCAAAGAATTCCATCAGGCTCCTGATCTAATAGCCATTTTTGCACTAGGCATTTATGTATACAGTTGTAATACTAAATTTGTGAAATTCCATAAGATTACTGCTACTTTCCCAAAAAGAACTCCTGTCTGTGTGTGTGCGTGCATGCTTGTCTGTGTGTTTGTGCCTCAGACTGGTTGCCAGTGCATGTGCGAAAGTATTCGGCCTATGAGACTTTCCCAGATTATCAGTAATTGGCGAAGTTTTTCCCACATGCCCTGTTAAATGTAGAAATGAAAGGGAGAAAAAGAAAGATATTATTGCAGAGTGGTGATAGCTTGGATAGATTAGAGCCCTTTTTTAGGCTGTTGAGTCACCATCATGTCCCTCAACAATAACTATTAAACTGCTCTCGAGTAGGGCGCCACTCCTCACCCCACAACTGTTCCACTAAATTAGGTTAAAACATTATTACACGTTTTCATCTCATGCCCAAAAACTGATCTTTTGAAGAGATTATTTTTTTAAATTACCCAAAAAATATCAAGTCTTTCAAAGCAAACAACCACACACAAAAAAGAAACTGGCTCCCGGACTCCTTCCAGGTACATCTCTTTTCATTTTGGACTGTTGTGGACTATGACTTTGCAATAATACAGTATTGTCCTCTTAGGTTAACATATTTGTACACTTATACTGAAATAGCAATATTGAAGTAAAGCACCTGTTGAGTCTGATTGATATTTAATGTGTGCAAGCCCCTCTCCACCTACAAGCAATCCCCCAGACTACTGCTGTAAATTGGGTACTTCATTTAGGTGATGTTCTTGGTGAATACGCTTGTTAAATCATGATTAACTTAATAGAGATACTGTATGGTTTTAGCCTCTAATCTTTTACAGCCCTACTACTACTACTACGATTTCTCCATGCCAGCTAGCAATACAGTAATAACCTCCATCAAAGTTGTGATTCAGTGACGCATACAGTGAATATCAGGAGAAGATGCACTGCTCAAAAAAATAAAGGGAACTCTTAAACTCTTAAACAACACAATGTAACTCCAAGTCAATCACAATCCTGTGAAATCAAACTGTCCACTTAAGAAGCAACACTGATTGACAATCAATTTCACATGCTGTTGTGCAAATGGAATAGACAACAGGTGGAAATTATAGGCAATTAGCAAGACGCCCCCAATAAAGGAGTGGTTCTGCAGGTGGTGACCACAGACCACTTCTCAGTTCCTATGCTTCCTGGCTCACTTTTGAATGCTGGCGGTGCTTTCACTCTAGTGGTAGCATGAGACGGAGTCTACAACCCACACAAGTGGCTCAGGTAGTGCAGCTCATCCAGGATGGCACATCAATGCGAGCTGTGGCAAGAAGGTTTGCTGTGTCTGTCAGCGTAGTGTCCAGAGCATGGAGGCGCTACCAGGAGACAGACCAGTACATCAGGAGACGTGGAGGAGGCCGTAGGAGGGCAACAACCCAGCAGCAGGACCGCTACCTCCGCCTTTGTGCAAGGAGGAGCAGGAGGAGCACTGCCAGAGCCCTGCAAAATGACCTCCAGCAGGCCACAAATGTGCATGAGGGTGGTATGAGGGCCCAACGTCCACAGGTGAGGGTTGTGCTTACAGCCCAACACCGTGCAGGACGTTTGGCATTTGCCAGAGAACACCAAGATTGGCTAATTCGCCACTGGCGCCCTGTGCTCTTCACAGATGAAAGCAGGTTCACACTGAGCACATGTGACAGACGTGACAGAGTCTGGAGACGCCGTGGAGAACGTTCTGCTGGTTGCAACATCCTCCAGCATGACCGGTTTGACGGTGGGTCAGTAATGGTGGGGTGGCATTTCTTTGGGGGGGCCGCACAGCCCTCCATGTGCTCGCCAGAGGTAGCCTGACTGCCATTAGGTACCGAGATGAGATCCTCAGACCCCTTGTGAGACCATATGCTGGTGCGGCTGGCCCTGGGTTCCTCCTAATGCAAGACAATGCTAGACCTCATGTGGCTGGAGTGTCAGCAGTTCCTGCAAGAGGAAGGCACTGATGCTATGGACCGGCCCGTCCGTTCCCCAGACCTGTATCCAATTGAGCACATCTGGGACATCATGTCTCGCTCCATCCACCAACGCCACGTTGCACCACAGACTGTCCAGGAGTAGGGCGGATGCTTTAGTCCAGGTCTGGGAGGAGAGTTGGATCGGCCTGTAGTGTGGTTTTCCACTTTGATTTTAAGTGTGACTCCAAATCCAGACCTCCCTGGGTTGATAAATTTGATTTCCATTGATAATTTTTGTGTGATTTTGTTGTCAGCACATTCAACTATGTAAAGAAAGGAGTATTTAATGAGATTAGTTCATTCATTCAGATCTAGGATGTGTTATTTTAGTGTTCCCTTTATTTTTTGAGCAGTGTATAACCTAATATAGCAAAGGTGCTTTGAACTTGCTGCCAGAACTCCAAAGACACAGGCATTTGTGTGACTTCAGTTGGAGAAAGGAAGCCAGGTCACCACATCCTCCCATATTTACAGCTTGCGAAAAGCCAAATCCATCATCAGTGTAATGTTACAAGTATGCTACACAGTGCCAGGACATGGAATGCGCTCAACAAACCAGCTTTAGCACAGAGAAATACATGGATTGTAGAAACCTGACAAAATTATGAAGTGCAGGCATGGAGATGTGTTCTCAGTATTAACCAAAATAAATACTTTCTCCAATTAGCCTCCTAATTCCATCTGGAAATCAACAAGCAAATTTCTGGAGTGGCCTCTAGAACGACAGTATTGTCCCATCCATGATACAGATGACTGGGCTCAGCTTTCAGAAATGCATACATAGATAAATGCACGCATTCTACACACAGCCTGGAGCTAGAATTAAGTGGTGTAATTGCTGACAAAACCACAGAGACTTGACACCATCTCACCAGAGAAGAAGAAGATGAGGGAAATGAAATAAGCACACCGACTGAAAAAACAAAAGATAGCGCACACCCGCAGACGGTCTCCGGCTGATACACACTAACACGCACAGGATACACTCACATGCACACTGATGAATTCATTGGTGGACTGAATAGCTAGAGCGCGCAAACTGTTCAAATGTTGCAGAACTATGCCACTTCAGTGCCAGATGAATGTTTTGCCTGTCGTCTGCAGATGCAGGGTGCCCCTCATCTGTTGACGTGGTATTTGTCATTTGGGACAGCCACAACTGGAGCCATGGTGGGGCCATAGCTGATTTAAAGTGACAGGGACGCAAGGCCATCTTATTCATCACAGGGGAGTGGCCCGCATTCACTGACTCCCAAATTACCGTCCTATTTGCAGGCCCTGCCCCCACTACAACCCCACCTATCACCAGCTGATCTATGGTGTGCCAACAAACACAAACTAGGTGTCATCTTGTTGGGACAAATAGGCAACAACAGACTTAAGGGCAGGTGGTAATCCTTCTCCCATGCTTCAACTGTGTGGTGTTGGAGAATTCATTTTATTGTGCCCACGAGCTGCTGTACAAGCTGTTCTCTCTTTCTCATATTTTATTTGCCTCTCAGTTGCTTTCTTTCTCCGCTGTTAGAACATCTTCTCTCCTTCTTCTCTCTCTCCTGCACTTGAACACGGTGTCAAGAAATACAAAAGTGTGCGGCTTTTGGGAGCGAGAACGAGAAACACTCAACGAACGTTGTATTCTGACCTCAGGCTGGATTCGTTGGAGGTGAGCAAAAGAGCGGAATAGCATATTTTAGAAAGTTTTGCACCATTTATTAAATTGCACCTTACCTTGCTGAGCTGACTGCCCGGTGAGCCGCTGTTGTTGACAGTGTGGCATTTGATGTTGAGCAACGATTCTCCCACGGCATCATGCTCTCTGCTCGTGTCCTTGTCAGTGTGGGAGTGGCTGTCAGGGAGCGGCGAGGTGGCAGACGAGGGGGGGCGTTGAAGTGCCGTGCAGGAGAGACCGAAAAAGTTAGACGGCCGGATCAGAAAGGCCTCCAGGGCTATGTTAGCAGATACCTAGGGGGGGGCAACACAAAAATTAGGAGTGGGGGAGTGAGAGAGAAGGGTTGGAGGGTGGGAGAAGGAGGGAGGGCAGAGATTTTTATATTAGTCATTTAGCAGATGCTTTTATCCCAAGTGACAGCAGAGAGGGAAAACAATAGACGGAAGCGAGAAGAAACAAAAGGAAGCAATTTATCTTTCGCTTGCCTTATTCTAGCTATCTGCTAGAGAGAGATTAACTTCTCATTATTTTAGGCTGCAAGAAAAAAAAGGTAAAGCTATGGGACATTTAGTCAGATAATCAACCTTTGCCCTGACAGAGTGTGGTCGTGAGTGTCGGTGTTACTGTTTCCAGTCATACCTTAGAAATGACCTGATTGTCTCTGGTCAGCGCCAGGTCAGCAATGCGCTCCACACACTGGACGATCCGAGTGCACGCTCTGGCCTCATTCTGTGCCATCCACAGGATATGCTCCTCCACAAGCATCATGTTGCTGGCTATGTCTGATATGTAGTCCCCAAGCTGCGGGAACACAAGCAGACATGTATCCGTGCACACAATTACGGAGATTGTACGTATAAAAAGCTGACACGTCTACACACACACACACACACACACACACAGCAAGAGGCAGACTCATCATACACATCAATCATATCCACAACAACAGGCACATTTATAATCTCCAGTCAGAAGTGTGAGGGAGGCAATGGTGGCTTCATTCATTATAGGAAGATTTAATTTAGATTAGCAGCTCCAATGGGGCATAATCGCTTCCTTGGGATGGAAGTTCCCTATTTACTTACTGTACTTTTCATTGTTGCTTCATTTGACTGTTCTTTATTGGATGAATGAGGGTAGTCTCATCAGCAATGTTTTAGGAATGATAAACCTCTAAGTATCTCCTAATATCTGCTCCCGAGTGACCTGTGATGAGTAATTGGACAAGTGGGAGCAAATATTGATTCTTTTCACTGACTATGCTCTGCACCCTTCCCTTCGCACAACCTGACCTTCAGCGTGACGTAAAGCCCTCCGATTGCCTCTGGCCACAGACAGAAGAGAAGTTCACTTAAAGTAAAACATGGCTTTCCCAAGAAGAGATGCATCTTCATAACCATAATTGTCATTCAGGTCCAACGCCGCCACGGGCAAGAGGAACGCGTATGAGGTGAAAAGTTAAGCTGTCTGGAATCGATTGAAGGATTGAAACCAGAACAGCATGTTGCCATGTCTTTTTAAGCAGCCCCTGTTGTCTCTCGCTGACATCCACGTCCAAGTGTCGTAATCTGTTTGCTCAATTCTGGCCCTTGAGACACTGTTGTTACCTCTAGATGAGCTAGTGTTTTTCCTGATTAACCTCATCCTAGCTACAATGACAAATTGTTGCTTTCAGAGAAGCAAATGCATGAAAATTGAATAGGAGTAACAGCTAGCAATAACAGTAAAGAAGTTCCCCATAAATTGCACATTACAAATTTGTGTAGTTCCTTCATAATGTGAGGGGGGGGCGTGGAGGGAGAGAATTTGCAACAATTTGCGTAACTCCTACCGCTTCTCAGAAACATACCTCACACTCGATCCACAGACACATATTTTTAGATTAAGTGTGACTTACACTCTCCGAGGATATCAATATCTCCGATCGAGAATAAATGTCCAAAAATCCGCTTAAAGATCATCCAATTAAGACGTTACGTACTTCAGAATCATGAAGTTTTCAATTTATCTTCAGTATCAAAGTAATTCAGTGATAGCTCTGTACATCCGCGGGCACAATACAAACAGGAACTGCTAATAGCTAATTCGACATACGTTTAATGGTGGCAATTTGGCACAATGTAAACAAACTAAAAAATAGGGCTCAAGTTGTTGCCAACGTGGAATGCTGGAGGACACAATTGTCCCAATTTTGTCTCTGCCCCACAGTGTGAGACTATGAAAACCTCAAAGGAAATAGTTTTTGTTTTTTTTTGTCATGCCTGGAATTTAAGCTTAGATCACATGAAATAAACTGTCTGCGTGTATCTTTGTTCACTCTTACATCTCTACGCTTTTCCACCAGCCTTGTCAGTCTCTCCACCAGGTGTGTGACAAAGATGACATCCATGACATCTGTGAAGTGTGCCGCCCTGCTGGTGATGGCCACTAACTGTTGGCTAGAGGCTGAGCATTTGTGGTATTAATAGTTATCTGGAATAAAAAGGAAATTATACAGCAATGTTCAGAGGGGATGAACACACAGTACATCTTCACAATTCAACCCGACATGAAACATGAAACAGCTTTGAAAACATATAATAGATAATGCATCACAGTTGTGCTATTTCATGCTATGCATGAAGTTCTGTGAACTTGATTACTTAATCCCTTGGGTAATGTAAGATTCAACAGCTTGTCGTCAGTTTCTATTATGTATATAAAGGATTTACATGTACAGATCTGCAAACACCTGCAGGCTACAGATGAATCAGAGGAGATGTTAGTTTCTGGGAATATGACATTAATAAATCTTGCAGCTAAACTGTAGATTGGCAAATATATAAAAGTCAACATTGTGAACATCCTACTAAACTTGACAAATCAAAGAGAATGAAAAAATAGTCAGAATCCCAGCACAAGGTCATCGTACGTATGGATACCTGTGTGAGGTCATGCAGCTCGCGGGTCAGTTCACTGGCATACGGGCACTGAGTGTAGTCCTCTTCGGCCCACCGTCCAACACGGTCACAGCTCCGCCACGCCTTCTTCTCCCTCTGTATGGAGTGGGGGGCAGAGCCAAAGGTGGCAGGACACAGGGCAGGAAGGCCAGGATGCCAGCTAAAGTCTTTGGCCACCTACCACATAAGACATCTCCAAATTATCATGAATGAAATATGTTTTATAATCTACACTTACTGCACCACACCACAATTTCATACTCCCCATACTTATATTTGATTTAAAGCTGGTTCTAATTATGTTTGCAGAAGACTGCCAGATATCCATACTTGATTGTGAAACAATGTGTTATCTCTAGGAACTTTATTCCAAACTTTACTTACTAACTGTAACAATCAACTTTGTTGTCGTTCCACTTTGTGTACAGTGTAACTAAAGATGCCCCACCAATTTTACACATCACGTTTAGGTAACTTGTCAGGGGCACTTAACAGCCAGGGAAGGTCTAACAAATTGAATCATGGAAAATGAAGGATTTGTTGTTTTGGAGCTTAACCCATATTAGGGCCTAAAAGTGAGCATTTCTCTGCCTCTGCTGTTCTGTTGACCAATCATCAGTCTTTCCCAAGTCCCACAACTTTATGAAAGCGCAATACTAAACTGCTGGAGCACTCCTTTAATGTAGGAAAGTGAAAATGCAAAAGGATGTATATATGCGGAAGGACCCTGTTCCTGCCTGCTCCTTCCTAAAGGGGAAAATCAGCCTAAAAGAGTAATTACAAGTGTTGTTCGTATGGCCATGCAAAGTTCAGTGAAGTCTCCTCTGAAGCAAGAAATTACTTTCTCAATAATGTCATCAAGAGCCAATTCCTGGAGCTGCTCTACTGACCAACCTGTGATAGGGGCCAGGGTGATTTTATGAGGAAATGGAAAATTTTCATTTTCTGGGTAATGCCTGTTAGTGTTTCAATAAAATAAAGCTCATTTGAGTGTTAAAAGTCAGCCAAACATTCATAGTCCACTACATTAGCCTCCATTTCCCAGATCATAAAAGAACTCCAGGTTTTCTCTCTTGGCGGTGCTGCAGATTAAAGGTCTTATTTTTGTGCTTCTGCAGCTTTAGGAGGGAGTTGTTTGTGATCACACATATTGATCAAATGGTCTACAATCTGAAGGGAAACAGGCGTCTTGTGTTTTTCTCCTTAAGGTCACATCAAAATCCAACTGCAGAAAAGTAGCTGAAGTAATGCTTAATGTGGCAACACTTTTTGACTTCATTTAAATGAAAATAAAGGAGCGCCGCACTCAGGAGGCTGGTAATCTGTTCTCAGTGTAGAGACCTGCCATCCCACTGGTCTCTACCCCATGCTATTTTTTTCCCTCTCTCTCCATCCACGTTGTCGCAGCAGCGGCAGCAGCAGCAGCTACTTAGTAATAAATGGCGTTAATTTCGCCCCCAACCAAAAAGGGGGCTCATTTTCCAGCCCATTACTCCAATGCCCCCGGCAGAAACAAAGCCTCTGTGCTGGCTGCACTGGAAGTGGGCTGTAAAGTACAGCGGCTACAAAGGATCATACACGACAACAGCACACCCACGGGGGAGGAGAGGTGGAGGATGTGAGTGTGCGTGTACAACTACAAGGTTTAAAGGTGGTCATAAGTAGTGGAGAACAGCAGGAAGGAGGATAGATGGAGGGCTAGGAGTGTTTTTGTGGTGTTGTGTTCCTCTTTTTATGTGAAACCTCAGTCATTTTTTACAGTCTTGCTATAAAGCTGGACCACATTGAGCCGTAATGATTGTGGGGGTTTTCATATCACATATCCAATTATTAATGAAATATATGAAAGGCTTTACTGTACATACTCAATTCTGGTCTTTGACAGTTAATGAGCCGCATCAAGGGGCAAGGCAGACCAGGTGTGGCAGATTTCAGGTGGAACAAAAACCAGCACGACACCAGCAAGAACCAGACTTAAGTACCTTAACTGCACTGTACATGGAGAGATAATAGCAGAGATTACAGCAAGGCAGGAATTCAATGGAAGTCATGAGGAGTGTTGGGCAGTAGCGTTACTGTAATAATATTACTTATCCTAGTAACTAAGTAGTGTAACTAATTACTTTTCTAAAACTGTAATATTATTACTAGTTACTAAGGCAAGTAACGCTACGTTACTCGTTACTGAATGCACCATCATTGACGTAAATCCACGACTGTGCGACGGCTCAGCGGGACGGGACTTTGTTGTTCATGTCTGCTGAGAGCCAAAACTAAAGGAAGAAAGGAGAACAAGGGAGAGAGGTGTTCTTTCCACGGCTGCAAGTAGCTGCTGCCATTATTGTGTCACAGTCTAAGATGCAAAGAACAGTGTCATCTAGTGTAAACTCGATGTTTAAAAGTCAGGATTTACTTGCTTTATTTTTATTTTTTTAGCCGGTGGCTAAACGTTAGGCCTAGGCTATATGCTCTGTAAAAACCACACTCCTTGCTGCTGTTGTGAATATGATGTTAGTTAAAAAGTCGAGGGAGACTACTTTGTTTGGGGGTGAAGGGGGTAGTAGGGAAAGCAGTTTTTCCCATAATTACCCTATAATTGGGATAATTATCAACACGGACCGCCACATACTGATTTTCCAAATTTTTATTAGGCATATTTAAAATCATTTTTGATTAAGGAGCTGTATTGAGGAGCATCTATTCGTGTAGCACCTCCTGGCTCGCTGCCTCTTTCTCTCTCTCTCGTGAACACCGCTGCACAAACCTGTCCAACGTTAGAATAACCCCCTCCCCCCCAACCCCAGCCCCGCTGTCATTCTTTGGGAAACACTGGAAAGTAATATAGTAACGTAACTAGTCACTTTTATCACCAAGTAATAAGTAAAGTAATAATATTACTTTTTAAAGGAGTAATAAGTAACTAGTAATATATTACAATTTCTGAGTAACTTGCCCAACACTGGTCATGAGGGCCATGCTGCCATGCCTCCTCAGTTTGGCCTTATGCCGCTCAAAGAATCATGAGCCCTGTGGCCAGAGTGGTCTTGATGCCCCCATCTGATTTCGCTGTTTCCTCCTCAGCCTCTTTCCTCTCAATATGGTTTTTAGACACAGGGTCTTTTGTTGACATTCTGAATTATTTTTGGGCAACATCAAGTAAAACGCTAGGCACATAACCAGTGGTGAAAATGAACAATATATTATGCCAATTCAAATATACTACAGACAATATTGTTACAAGACCATTTGAACCCACATGGTCAAGCGGCCGTACAGTACGTGACCACTGAGAAGTGACTCACCTGAACTCCCCCTTGTTATTGGTGACTCTGTCAGAGGGGCAGTATGGTGCTGACGTCTCCAGAACAACTATCTCCATTTGCTGAGAAGTGTTGCCACGGGAACTGCTCACCAGGCACTCCCAGATGCCAGCGATGCCCACGTCAATGTTGGAGAGGATGACCTCGCTGGAGGAGGAGAACAGAAGCGTAAAACTGTAGGTGTTTGGAAATATTTGTTTGTCATCGTCTTCTAATGAGATTCAAATGTCCTTAAAAGGTTCGTATAAGGTGTTGGATTAGGATTTAGTCTTGGGTTTAGGATTAATGTAGACTGGGGATTTCTTTTGTGTTAGGACTTGAATTTAGGGTGGTTTGTATTTGTGTTTTGTGGATTAGGTTAAGGATTAAAGTTAATCATTCGGTGAGGAGGGTTAAGGTTAGGGCAACATCTTAATAGAATCTGTCGTCAGTGGAAGCACCTCAGCGCGATGGAGTACAAAATCGTATGTGCATGTGTGTAAATCAAGTTCATTCAAGAGACCCTTGTGCATGTATGTGTATGCAGTGGTTTAAAATGTTGGCCGTGACTTAAGATGATCATTACTCATTCTTATCTTTCCTACTTTGTCACAGTGATTTCTATCTCAATAGAAAATGCCTGATTAAACAAAGGATGGTGAAACAGTGACAACGAGCCAATGCAGGCCATTTGCCAAGGCGACTAATCTTGAGGATTTTACTCCTTATGAAAAAAGGAGAAAAGCCGGCGGAGATTGCTAAGCAACGAACACTATCACCATGGAAATACAACCTCCTTGAGATATGCCAACTGTTTAATTTCCAAATACAATCCAGATGTAGTTAAATATACACTTTGTTTGTACTTAAAGAGCTAATGCCTTTTTGTGATTTAATTAAGCTGTGTGTTCATAATACAAGTCACAGAATATCCACACAATACTGTATAAAGTTTTTAAATGCGACTTAGGAAACAATGTTTCACAAACGGGAATGTGTGACAGTTGACATTAATAATTATAAGTGACAGGCTTGACAAGAAACTGAAATCTTTCAGAGTAAAGATGATTAGCCGCTGAGCGGCTCTGATGAGGAGGAGCTGAAATCCCAGAAAACATTTCTCAAAGGGTGTGAGAGAAATATTTATTCAGAATCATTAAATGCCCTCATTTCATCTGCTTCTCTCTCTCTTCTTCTCCCTTTTCTGTCTCAATATGCTTACTACAAGTACAGCCATTTTAGGCCTAAGCCTGTCCCAACATGCACCAGGCAAAAGTCTGGAGAACACCGTAGCCCATCACAGGACTAACACAAAGATAAACACATTACGGGTGCACAATATATTGACTCAATACCGTTATCAAAATATCATGTTGCCCAATAACATATCGAAAATGTCGCAGAAAGTTTGCAATTTTACATTTATTTTGGGAAGAGATGAGTCCGTTGGCTGTGTGGCTAAGTTATGTTCGATTTAGACCCCTCTTGAAATTTTATTGGCCAGTTGCCCTGTCACATGCAAGTGTGAGCGCACAGGTCCACTACACGAGCATTACCCTATGGAGCATACCACGTGATGTGTGTGCATACTTCAACAGTGTGTGAGTGAAGAGAAAGAGAAATGAAAAATATCTACTAAGTAAGGAGATGAGTGTTTTTTACGTATGTTTAAGAATATCAAAATTAATATCGTTATTGCAATATTCATGATCAATATTGCAATATCCTATTTAGTCAATATTGCCCTAAAATACATTCACCAGGGCTCAACGTTTTTGGGTTTGAAACTTACTGGCCCCAAGATAATTTTTCCTGTCCCTCCCTCCAAAAGTTGTAATTTATCAGCCATTAAAAAAAAAACCTAAACAGAGCAGCGGATACGAGTCGCTTCTATCGTGATTGACAGGTTGCCATGGTAGCGACTTGTCAATCACAAGGTAGTTCCGCCCAAAAGCATATGCCACTTTATCGTCTATTTTCCTCTAAAGAGGACCATAAATTACTAAATGAACATCATGCTGTGTTGAAGAAGACTTGAAACAAGCGACTGTGACTGTAAACTCGTCAGGAAAGTGTTTACTTACGTAATAATTCAGGTGAGTAAGGTCATTTTACAATTATTTCTAATAAAACCGGACTTCTTTTTGCAACCAGCGGACTCGTCCAGATTAGACAACGTTGCGCACCAAGTGCTGCAAAACAACTGCAGGATGTTGATAATGTGAATATTGTTTTTTATGTATTTTTTTTATACTAATGGTTTTGCACTGGCTGGTTCAGAAGTCAGAAGTGAAGTAACGTTAAAACATTAAATAAGTCAATGCTGACATTTGGTTTCACACGAGACACGGGCCCCAGTCTCCTGGCTGAAAGTCCTGTGTTTGTTTGACCTATCTGTCTATATAGGTATAGCCCAGTTGAGGTGTTACCTATTCAACCTTGAACTGCATGTCAAGGTGGACAGAGGACTAGTGATAGTGAGAGACAGCCAGCCTGAGGAATAAGACTGACTCGAAACACAATATGAATTGCATTCTGGTCTATTGAGTGCTAAAATTGGCATTCTTGCCTTCTCTACCATGAATTTCTCCCTGTATGACCTTTGGTCATCAGTCCAAAATAGTGCATTTAGACAGAGGGCTTTGCTCTGATTCTGATGAACATGACATGACCTTCAGTGTTTTAGATAGCAGAAAACTCAGTTTGATCAAACTTCTCTGTAGTTATGTTGCATTATCTTGATGTAATGTCATTGCATGCATTTGACAAGCTATCGAAGACAATAACACAACAAAGAGTTAGATAAGTTATTACAATTTATCCTGTGGGGAACATGAATTTCTGAACCAAACAAAGTGGCAGACTGACCAAACAAACGAGTGGCATTGTCAAACTGCTAACTTAGCAAAAAATTTGAATATACTGTTATTAGCATTGCCATGTAAAGTTATGATCCTTATAGGATTGAGTGAAATAACTAACTGTAGTTAAGTAATCACTGAATTCCCTAAATTACATTTTAAATGCCTATGCCTTAATCATACACTACTAAATATTTAAAGTCTGATATATGTTCAATAAATTTGAAAGTTAAATATAACCCTTCATGAAGTCTGTCAGTCAAATGCTTTCAGTCCTAACTAAGCTCTAGCGTTTAGAATCCACTAGAGAGGTAACGTGTGTATAACTAATAACTGCCACATTAAATCACATTGTTCTCTGGTGTGAACTTGTCTCCACTGCTGTTTGTTTTGCAAGAGAAAACAAACGCAAATCAGAGAGTGCTGTTAACATTCCCTGTGCTGAATGGACCCCATGACTTTGCTCCAATGACTTTCTGTGGGCGAGTTATGAATATGAATAAAATAAGTCCTGATTTCATCTTCTGTGTTCCACTAAAGCTCTCTTTTCTGATTGCTTTTCTAAAAGGCCCTAAATCAGATTTGAACGCTTGACTGAGATGATGACATTCTGGGATAGAGAACAAGTGTGTATGTCTGTGCGTGTGTGTTACTGCCTGTGAATACATGTGAGGGATTTTGCATGTGCGTAAGTACATTTTCAGTTTTCTGAAAAGCACTTCAGGACATTTTTTAGGTAGTTCAGAAGAGTTTTCGCACCAATCATTTAAAAATTTGGACAGGAGCTTCTCAAAGTACTGTCATTGAGATATATTTTATCCAAACCTTCCTGTAAGTCGAGTCACTGTCCAACACTGTGATGATGTCTCTATATATAATTTACTCAAATATTTAGTTTCAGGAGAAATTTTGAATGGTAACCCTAGCCTTTACCTCTCCTTCACATGCTTATTGTGTCTCATACTCTTTCAGTCACTCACTCTCTCTCTCTCGGTCTCTTTCTCCACCTCCCTCTTTAAAACAACATCCTCCCTCTTCCACAAGGTGCAAGTTGAGTGTAATGTGTGGATGGGCTTTAAACTGAAACCCTTTGGGCTCACTCCAACTGTTAGCCTGTCTCTACAGTGCAACAGTTATATAATAAACCACATACGTTGTCTGAAAACCTGATCTAAACAGATAATATACAGTGGATAATATACTGGGAGGTAAAGTAGAAGACCAATATGTTAGTCACAGGGCCCACAGTAATTCTGAGAATGTTACCAAAAATGTTACAAATACTATAAAAAGCCAGAATTTTGTACTATGCTTCATGATTAAACAACACAGATTTTGTGGTATTTGAGAATTCAAGACCTTCCTCTATAGACTCCACTAGACTGAAAAAAGGAGAAAATAATTTGTACAGGACTACTAGTGGAAATCTGTTTTCACCAAATATGTGTGGGCATAGTCAGTATTTTGTTTTGACTAAATAGAGCTATAACCCCAACCAAGAATTACCAGAATAAAGAACCCTGTCTGATTTCCTTTATCTGCATGTGGCTTCTATACACTAGAATCACATGGGTAAATTCACATTGCTCACATCAAGCGCCTTGTATTTATGTAAAGCAACTTTGCCTGGCACTATGTAGAACTGAAGATTTCAATCGAACAGCCAAATGCTTTACGGCATCAACAAAACACTTCAGCAAGCAAGCTATGAGAAGAAGCAAAAAGTATGTAATGATTAATGTAAGTTCTTTGGAAGGAGTTAGCTCAGTATTCTCAGATTAGATATCAGGGAAGAGGTTGTGAAAAGTCCAAAGAAGAAGTTGCAGGAAGCGAGGAAGCGATAAAGAGAGAGTGACAAGCAAGTGACTGGACAAGAGCAAATTTCAGACTAGCTGTTACTCATTGGTGTGAATTGAAAGAGCTGAAGGGATGCAGGACAGCCCGAGGTGGCATTCTTGCTATTGGACTAGTAAGTAATAACCTGTTGTTGATGTTTGGCTGTATTAGCAAAGACGATGACTCTTGCAAAATCAGCCAGAGGTTTCACAAAGTTTTAGCTGCTAGCTATAAATCTCAAGTTGATGTTAGCAAACTTACTAGATACTCAGACATACGTAACTGCTGTCTAGCTTTGTTGGCTAGCTTGCCACCTAAGCTTCAAACAACGTTATGCTGCTGCTGGTGAAGAGACGCCTAGCTGGCATTCTCTCAGTGTACACAGTTGGACTAGTAAGTATTATTCCCTTGTGTTGTCACACTTGCTTGATGTTTGGCTGTGTTAGCAAAATTCGCGACTTGCTAGTTTTT